CTTTAAGACTTGTGGACCAAGGGCTGAGGAATTCTGGGAGTTGAAGTCCACAAGTCTTAATGTAGCCGAGATTGGACCCCCTTGAGTTAGATCAGGGGTCCTCAACCTTGGCCACTTTAAGACTTGTGGACCAAGGGCTGAGGAATTCTGGGAGTTGAAGTCCACAAGTCTTAATGTAGCCGAGATTGGACCCCCTTGATTTAGATCAGGGGTCCTCAACCTTGGCCACTTTAAGACTTCTGGACCAAGGGCTGAGGAATTCTGGGAGTTGAAGTCCACAAGTCTTAATGTAGCCGAGATTGGACCCCCTTGATTTAGATCAGGGGTCCTCAACCTTGGCCACTTTAAGACTTGTGGACCAAGGGCTGAGGAATTCTGGGAGTTGAAGTCCACAAGTCTTAATGTAGCCGAGATTGGACCCCCTTGAGTTAGATCAGGGGTCCTCAACCTTGGCCACTTTAAGACTTGTGGACCAAGGGCTGAGGAATTCTGGGAGTTGAAGTCCACAAGTCTTAATGTAGCTGAGATTGGACCCCTGAGTTAGATGTTGGGTATAAAGAACCCCCTCAAATCAAAAGCAACCCTGCACAACGGAATTCCCAATCACCCCTCTTCTGCCCTGCCTCGCTGTCCCCCCCCCGCCCCATCCTTCCCCTTTTCACCTGTGGGCAACGCCCCTCCCCTTTTCCACCTGATAGGTCCGCCCCTCCCCCTCGCTCCGGGGCTCCTCCCCCTACGCCACCTGCTGGACACGCCCCACCTGGAGAGCTCCTCCCCCGCCTTCCTTCGCGCTCGCGGGGCTCCGGCAGCTGCACCTGCTACTCCGGCTTTCTCCTCCGGGCGAGCGGGACGAGCGCTGCGCCCCGGGTCTTCCTCCGGGGGAGGGGGAGCCGGCGCAATGGAGCCGTTGGCGCTGGCGCTCGGGATAGCGGCTCTGCTGGGTGAGTGAGGGGCTGCCAAGAGGGGGAGGAGGCGGGCGGGGTGGTGGGCTTGGGCTGGGGGGAGTAAAGCGCCGATCCTCTCCCCGTCGCGGCTTGCGATCCTGAGTATTCAGTCGAGGAAGGAGGAAAGCCGGAGGTGGGTGGGTTTTCTTGCGATGCTCGGAGTTTTCTCCCGCGGGAGTTTCTTGAGGTTGCAAACTTCGCAGGTCGGCGTCCCCTTGGGAGGCGAGTCCTGGTGAGAGTAACCTCGGAGTAACCTCGGAGTAGCCTCGGATCAGTCTACAAAGACCCCGGTGGGGGAGAGGAGGAGGGGAAACGCGCGGGTTTCGCCGCTGCCGCTGAACAAGGATGATGGGCAATTGAGGAGGAGGGGGCTGTTGGAAAAATTGGGGAGCTGGGTGGGGTGTTCTCCCCCTGGCTGATTGAGGAAAAGACCCCTCCTGAATTCTAGCTAGCGACTGTCAGCCCAAGCAAAAGACTCCGGATTAGCAACGCGTGAGAAGGCGCAGCTGGGTTTGCGCTGGGACGTCCTTTTAAGTTCCCAACTTAGGGGCGCAGCCTGAGCCTGCCTGGGGTGTGTATGTCAATGTCACTATAATTACACAGAGCCTGAGCGCCCTTCCTCCCCCCCCCCCCCCCGTCGCTACATATGGGTAACATGGTTTGCAGGAGAAAGCTAACTTTGTGGACCATTCCTTCAGTTAGGCTAATTGGGCAACCTGCTTTGGTTTCTGCGGAACCCAGTTAGACCCCCTGGAGTCCTGCGTAAGTTCTCCGCTTTGCCTTCCTAGTCCTTTTTATTATTTTGCTTTTCCATCAGCACCCGCGGAGTTCTCATAAGCACATCGGCTAGGAATAGTCTCAACGAAGGAGGAGTTGACAGTCGCTGCTTTGCGAACGTAACATGTCTGGAGGAAGATCCATCATAAGGAAGATGCCAGCTTCTCTGGCACTCCTAGAGTTGGACCTCAGGCCACGGGGGAGGGGGGTGGGATGAGGGGGAAGGCACTCACATTATCGCCTAAAAAGAATGGTGGGTGATGAACCCGGGGCCTCTGTGAGTAGCCAAACTGACACGATTGAGCGTTGTCATGATCTAAAGAGGCCTCATTCAACTTATCTATTTCAGTAAGCAGTTGGCTAAATATACTCATAGTTACAGGTGCTAAAATTATTATTGTGTTCTTTAGAGATTTGTTTTTCCCTTCCCTAAAATAAAAAAATAGTGTTTCTTCCCAGGAAGATGTACGGCAATTTAAAGCATGTCATTCACCAGCCTATTAAACCTGGGTTTTAAAATTATCTACCTGCCCTGCTAAATTAGAGGTAATAATTTATCTGAAATGAAAGGCTGATTCCTATCTCCCTTTCTTTGCTTTGCCCTTCCTGCTTTATATTGAGAAACCGGCAAAGACCACCTCCTACATCATGGATTCTTTTTCTGCGATGTCCCCAGATCCTGCATAGCAATGAAGAATGTTTGTTTTAATCCAGTTGGTTGCCTTTTAATGAGAAAAAAAAACATGCATCCATTAGTAATAGACCTTTCAGATGAAAGGTCCCCAGAATTCCAGGCATTGTGGAATTATTTCATTTTTTTCTTTCTTCTTTTAGCCTAAATTTTCACTGGTAGGTTTGTAGATGGAAGAAAGTGATGTCTACTAGTCATGGGGAAGAAAAGGTTGAGAGCACAGTGACTGTGTGAAGGAAGTCAGCTGAGAACCTTGGAGATGCTATGCCAGGTTCTGCAGATCCCATGAATTAATATTAATACCTGCTTCTCTGAATGGTGATCTGCTAGGAAAGTACAGTGTGATAAGTATAACGTTTAAAGTGTTGGACTTTGGAAACTTATTTTCAAGCCCCACTCCCACATACACACACCATCCCTCTACATTGTGGAGCGCTCTTAGTAACTTTTAGCCAGTCACTCTGTTTCAATCCAAGTTACCTAACCTAGTTTGGGAAGTAAAATTAGAGGAGAACTCAGTCACCAAGCAGATTGCCTTGAGTCCTCAGAAGAATTGTGGAAAGCAAGTGCAATAGGTTCAGGACTGTATAGATTGGAGACTGTATAGATTGGAAACATGCCGAAGAAGCCTTCAACCTGCAGTAGATAGACCAGGGGTCTTCAAACCTGGCAACTTTAAGACTTGTGGACTTCAACTCCCAGAAATCCTCAGCCAGCCCTGGCTGGCTAAGGATTTCTGGAAGTTGAAGTCCACAAGTCTTAAAGTTGCCAAGTTTGAAGACCCCTGGGATAGACAATGGCTAAAATGATGATGATGATGATGTGCAATATATAATAATGTTTGAGTCATCTATGGATTCTAAGGGATAGAGTTTACAATATACTTAGCACCTAACTACTGGGGAACAGGCACAGCTTCTGGCAGTGTTTTTCAAATAGATTGGCTGAAACGAGAGGGGAATTGCAATTACAAATACCATCAAATTCCTTAGCAGCCCATTATCCATGGGTTGGATTACCTAATAATAATACTGTATGAGTTTATCCTTTATGATATCTTGGTTCTCTTGGGAGTAGACTTTAGACTCACCTGGGAGTTGATGAAGAAGCTTCAACCACTGAGATGTACACTAGTAGATTCTGCTACCTTAGCGGATCCACCAGCTTTTTATTTTGATGAGACCGGCAAAAGGGAAGACAAATGAAGAGGGAAGGGGGGAAAAACCCATTCTTCATCGATAGAAATAAAAATATAAAACCACAGTTGTCCGATCAACCAGCACTGATGTCGGCAATTCCATAGTGAAAAAGCTGAATGCCGTTTTCACTGAAGTTAAAATGTGAAACCTTGTGTTCTGCCTTTTAGAAGGCAAACTGGAGTTATACATCCCTCTGAAGCAATGAAGTACTTCTTATTTTAAATATTATTTTGCAGGAAGGGTTATTCTAAGCTGTTAAAGGCATTCCCGTGCAGTGGATTAACTTGGAGTCCTTGTCCACCATTCCAAGTGGCCAAAAGCCAGGACTTTCCCCTACCTGTCGCTGGTGCGGCTTCTCTATTTCCATCTTGGCTTTTTCCTCTTCTCTGCAGAGTGAAACCGTCTCCCACTGCTAGTAGTAGCTTCTGTTTCTCATTCCTGTAATTTCTTTAGGTTTCAGTTCAGTTTCCTATTCACTAAGCAATAGGGCTGTGCATAGATTTGGATTTGAACGCCAAACATGATTAGGTGCCTTCCCGGGTGAGTATAGAGACCCTGTGGGGAATATTTATTTTATTTATTATATTCTACACTGCCCATCCCACCTAAGTGTCTTTTACAGCAGCATAATAAAACCATATAAACACACGAGTAAAAGCATATCTTAAAAACAGGGCTAAGAACGAAACTTACAGGTAACAATAAATCAGGTTCAAAATCTTCCACCCTCGTCCTTGAGAGAAGAGGGAAGAACTCAGAAAAGGCACAGCCACTTTAAGATGTTCCAACTGGTGCGACTGGCCCATCAGATGTGTTCAGAGTCTCATTCTGCCCTTTGAATAGAAAGAATAAGTTGCCAACGGAGCACAAATTTCCGGAATTCTTTTTAACTCATATTCGAGCTTCGAAGTTTCCAGTTCAGTGAGAATAATAATAATAATAATAATAATAATAATAATAATAATAATAATAATAATAATAATAATAATAATAATAATAATAATAAAGTTGGAAGGGACCTTGGAGGTCATCTAGTCCAACCCCCTGCTCAGGCAGGAAACCCTATACCATTTCAGACAAATGGCTGTCCAGTCTCTTCTTAAAAACTTCTAGTGTTGGAATATTCATCACTTCTGGAGGTAGGTTGTTCCACTGGTTAATTGTTCTAACTGTCAGGAAGTTTCTCCTTAGTTCTAGGTTGCTTCTCTCCTTGATTAGTTTCCATCCGTTGCTTCTTGTCCTGCCTTCAGGCACCTTGGAGAATAGCTTGACTCCCTCTTCTTTGGGGCAGCCCCTGAGATATTGAAAAGCTGCCATCATGTCCCCCCTCGTCCTTCTCTTCATTAAACTAGACATCCCCAATTCCAGCAACCGTTCCTTATATGTTTTAGCCTCCAGTCCCCTAATCATCTTTGTTGCTCTTCTCTGTACTCTTTCTAGAGTCTCAGCATCTTTTTTACATCGTGGTGACCAAAACTGGATGCAGTATTCCAAATGTGGCCTTACCAAGGCATTGTAAAGTGGTATTAATACTTCACATGATCTTGATTCTATCCCTCTGTTAATGCAGCCTAGCACTGTGTTGGCCTTTTTGGCAGCTGCAGCACACTGCTGGGGACAAGAAAAGAAATGCCCTCAACATTGAGGCAAACTCTTAACCCTTGCTCTTAACTCAGATCCTTGGATTATCATTTGCCTGACCTTCAGTCAGAAGGGCCAAGTGGTGAGGCATATGGGAGTTGTAGTCCAGGCTCTCTGGAGAGCACCAGATTGCTTCCTCCTGCGTTCCAACTCTTTACAAGCTTCTTGGTTTCGGAGAGTGAAAATGGGCACCCACTTTAAAACCGACTTGGCTTTCTGCCTTTGTGAACCAGGGCTCTTTCCCGCTCCTTTGTTTGTTTGTGCTGTTAAAACTTGGACTGTAAACTCTTCATTTCGGCGCAACTGATAATCTCTGTCAAACATTGTTCAAATGCCAGAAACTCTCGTGCTAATAATATCGTGAAAGTTTTCTGTGAAACCAGGATTTCTTCTTAAACGAGATATTCCTGTAGTCAGATTTAGGACTACTGTATGGCCCATCAATTCTGGTTGTCTGAGAAAACCTAACGAGTGGGAAGAGACAATGGTTTTCACAGTTTGTGCATAATGGTGAGGATGGAAACGGCACTATGTGGCTTTTGAGTTTGTTGAATTCTGGACTCATTTACTGTAGTGTGTTGAATATATGTCAGTGGTGCTTCTACAAGTCCCTGCTTGTTGTAGCAGGGCTAGCATCCTCCTATTATTTTTTGGTAAGAAAAATACAGTATTAAAAAAAAATAAAATTG